AAGATAACATTAGCAAGTTTGAGATCGAGATACTAGTACAAACGAAGCAAACAACATAGCACTAGCTAGAACTAGAAGATGGAGGAAACCAATAAGGAGCCGCAATACGATCCAGTACACCTTTATGGGAGCTTGGAAACTAGAGGCAGTTCTGGTGGTGAGATCATAAGCACCTAAGCCAAAGCCAATAAAGTAGATGGAGTTCGGTTTGAGGCCAGGGTAAGAGCTTGCTTGGACACAAAAAGACTCTCCCTTTGAAACGAAGATGCAGAGATCTCCAATGTCATCAGTGTAACACATGAATCTCCCCTCAAGAGTCTCTTCCTCTCTAAACACCATGATCCTTTGCGTGTCATAGTAGATATTCTTGGAAGCTAACCCTCCCTTGGCGTACCATTTGACGAGGAAACGTTCATCTCCGGAAGGTGATTCCACGAGGTAATCTGTCCTGGTAGAATAAGGAACCATCTCAGACAACTCTGAGTCATATTTGAACGCCTCTGGAAAGTTTCGAAACTGCAGCTCATGAAACTCTTTGTTGAACTCGAGATCATAAGACAACAAGTGGTGGCCTCCAGGACCAGGCAAGTAGAACTTATTGTCTTTCTTGGAATACATGAGATTCGAGGTTGGAAAGAAATCAAGAGGAGTTGAGACCTTAGTCCAACGCAAGTCACGACGCGGCCTACAGAAACTGAGCTGATTACCCAAAGACAAACTTACAACAAAAGCAAAGCAAGACAGACTTATATAAACTTGCATACAAAAACAGAGTAGAAAGCAAATAATCTAAACTAATAAGACAATATTTTGTGTTTCTTTTAGGATTATGTTCCTCTATAATATAATTCGCATGTTAAATGATACTACTTTTGAAGCTATGTCGTTCAAAAGAGGGAGCAAACTGGATTTTACAACACGCAAACAATCTTGCTGCATTTTTTTATAGGATTTCTCTAATAACCATTTATAATTACTAGGACAAGTTCGAGTTTATTTTAAAAATTTTAGTACTACTATTTGTTGGAAACCGTGTACACCACTATAGATCAACAAAAGATTCGCACTAGAACTAAAGAAGATTTTTATCATGAGATGGTGGTACACATACTTAACAAAACTAATCAAAATAAACTCGTACGTCCTCTAATGTAATGTAGATAGATAATGATACGGGGCCCCAAGAATACCAGAACAAGAAAAGTGATACATAGATAGGTGATCTTGAATTAGGTGTTAGTAATCCAACGAGTGAACCAAAAGCAGGACACAATAACACCAATGAACCAAAGGAAGAGAGCACTATGGCTCGGAAGAAAACGGAGGAAGCCAGTACGGGGAGTGAGGAATCATGTCTGGTGTACCTTCTGGATATTCATAGCAACAAACGGTCGCGTCGGTCATATTGAGCGTCGCAAACAAACGACCATTCAAAAACACAGAGTTAGGCATGAGTCCTGGCTTAGAGCTCGCTTGGACACAGAAATCTTCTCCCTTTGAAATGAAAATGCAAAGATCTCCAATGTCAGTAGTGAAACGCATGTTTTTTCTCCCATCTTTTGTGTCCTCCTCTCTAAACACCATCACCGTTGGTATTATTGGCCCATCAGGATTGTAAACAGAGTACCTATACACGTTACAAAGCCAAAAGACGTTTCAGTTTTAGGGTTGTTTGTTCTGTTTTTTAGCATCTAAAGCAAGTTTCTAAAACTATTAGGTACATACCATTTGACAAGGAAACATTCACCAGAAGGTGACTCCACATAGTGATCCTCTCTGCAATAGGAATCCAACAGCTTCCAACGGGGACGTCTCAAAATGGGAAGGTTGTGCAACACCAACTCATGGAACTTAGGGTTGTTGTCTTCCTTGAAGTTAAGATCCCATGAGCATATAATTAGTTGCTTCCAGGAGCAGGCAAGTAGAATCTCTTGTCCTTGTTGGAAAACATTAGACTTGCGTAATCCCACGAATCAAAAGGAACCGAGATGTTAGTCCAACGCAAGTCTTTCCTTGGCCTGCAGAGACTTAGCTGTCTACCCATGAACTTGACACCAACGGTCCACTCTTTGTCGTATGGCTCAGGAGAAGAGGACATGGCCACATTACACACGACTTGGGTTTGGCAATTGGGAAGAGAAGTAAAAGGAGGCAGAGGAATCATCTTTGGTTTTGAAGTGGAAGCAAAAGGGTTTAACAAGTCAGTGACAACCATCGACTGGTCTTGTCTATCAGAGAAAAAAACCCCATCCATGGGAAGCTCCGACCAACGCCGACTCATCAATGGCTTTGGGGTATACTTTCGTAGGGGATGTAACTAACTTATACTTTGACACGTCGTATAACAGGACTTCTCCGACGTTTCCACCGTCCGGCGAGGGTTCCACCATGATGCAAACCGAAGCACACGGACCGGTCCTAGACGATGAAAACGAACGAACGCTACTCTTGTGAATCTACCAAGTATAAGAGATCAAAACACACATCAATTTTCTTTAAAGACCAAAGAGTCAAAGCTAAGACAGAAGAACAAAAGCAAGAAACGGTGCTTACGAGGGGAGAGATCTTGGAGAGAAAACGAAACATTATTACTCAAAATTAAGTCTGATGTATTCTTTGGAGTCTTTTACATATAATAAAGAGAGCAATAGTCAATAAGGTGTGTTGTACAAAGCTTTTCTTTCCTATTTTCGATTTTTGTGAAGTTTTTGTTTTTGGAATCTTGTCATGCCAATGTACTCGGAGACAATGCTTTTCTTTTCCATTTATATTTTCCACTTTCAAATACTACTGTATAAATC